GGAGTTGGCAAGGAAGCTGCTATGAAGCTTTTTAAAATTGTAGAAAATAAAGATATTATTGAACGGTATAAAATATAAATTAAAATATATTGAAATATATTATATAAGAATATGATATTAATTTTTCTTTTAGAATAAAGAGTTGGAAAACTGATACTACTTTAGATCATAAGGAAGCAGAATTATTGAATTCAAACTTATGTTCATCTTGTGGACATAGTGGTAAAATTCAAAAGCATACAAAATCAGGTTGTATAGATTGTGGTACAGTTGTAAAGTGTAGTAATTCCTACAGGTAATTTATAGCATTAGTTTACTTTTTGTAATATTAATTAAATATATATATGTTATAATATATACATATGTATATTATTTATTTTGTTATATCTTTTTTAGGGAAAAAAAAGCATTATTATTAAATGAAATTACTTTACGAAAAAAAGCACTTCTTGTTGAAAATTTTCCAAATCAGGAATTAATAGATGAATATCTTCTTAGGAAAGATCCAGTACCTAAGAAAATAGATATTCAATGGAAACAACCACATGTGAATGAATTCATAGTAAGTTTTTATATATATAAAACTTTATAATATTTTAATCATATATATTTTTATGTTTATATTATGAATTTATTTATATTAGGCTTTCATGGAACGACATTTATCATGGGAACCACATTATGCATTTGAAAAAATATTTCCTTTAGCAACTCGCTGGCAATTAGTACATCTTCCAAATATTTCTGTTGAAAATCGTTTAGTAATATCTGATTTATACATACCTAAAGCAATAAAAAAAATTCGAAATATTAGAAGTGTTGCGAGTTATGAAATTATTTGGAAAACTGATCATAGTACAATAGAAAAAATTAAAGAGTATATGACATTAGATAATGAAAGTGATGAGATTAATGTAGATATTTTACCGGAATTAACAAGTATTGAACCACAGAATGCTGTACAGAAATGTTATCCAGAATTAGTTGAAATATTTGAAAATGCAAGAAATGCGAAACTAAAAAAGCGTCAACCTAAAAATAAAGTGAAAAATATTACAGATGGTAACGATGGTAAACGTAAAGCAGAAAAGAGACGTCAGAAAAAAACTGAAAAAGTATTAACAAATGTAGAAAATAATAGAAAAATTGATGATTTCATTATGAAAGATAATCCTACATCATTAGAAGAATCTTTTAGAAGGATGAGTATTACACCGAAAAGATCTAAAATGTTAGATTGTCCACAAGAAAAGAAAAATCAAGAAAAAAATGATAAAATAAAACGTGGTTCACAATTTAATAAAATATTGCAATTAGAAAACATGAATTCAAAATTAAATAATACGTTGGATAGGATGTTTAATGAACTTTCACCAGATGATTTCATCAGTGATAATGATCATGATTTAAACATGTCAGAAATAATTGACAATATATGTAGTCGAAAAATTTTTCAATATAATATTAAAGAAAATATGCATATACCTATAGATGAAAATAATTTATGTGAAAAAGATGCTGAAATTTTAAAAATAATTGATAATGTAAATAATTTTCAATCGGAATTTAAAGAATATTCAAAAAATAATGTAAATTGTGATCAAATAGATGAATTTGCCGATATAAATGAATCTTACATTCCTCTTAATCAAAGAATAAATTACAAAGAAACAGTATTTCAAAATACTTCTACACCAATAAATGCTAGATTTAGTCTTGGATTTGATGCTCTCATGGATGATACTGATTCGAAAAATCAATTTGTCACATAATATACACATAATATCACATCTTTATGCAATTGACGTTCATAATATATTAAAATAATTTTATAGTATTGTGTAATAATTCTTTGTAAAATAATTCTTTGTCAATCATCGATTCACAGCTGATCAATAGTTATTTCTATATATTACATATGAGAAAACTGTAGAGAAAGACTTTGTCACAAATGTACAAATACATATATGCGATATGATAGTAAAATATAGAAAAAAGAAAGAATGGAAAAATCTTGTTATAATAAATAATCGAATTGATTTTTTTCTTTTATATTTCTTTGACATAGTTAAGTAAGTATCGATATTTTTTTTTTTATATTTTTATATTTATATTTTTATAGCAAAATGAATATGATCATTTTTTAGTTTCCTAATGAAGAATTTTGATCTCGTTCATTCTGTATTCTAAATCAATCGATTTAAATTCAGTTATTATTAAATTATTTCATTGAACTTTATTGAATTCTGAACTAAATTGTTCTTCTATCTTCTAAAGAAAATATATATAAAATAATAATTAAGACTATTAGATATAAACATTCTTGATAGGTATATTGCAATCAATATTTTGTTATTTACATGGATTTTGATCAATTGATCGAAAACGGCTGACTATTGGAACTTAAATTTTAACCATTTATGTACGTAAAGCATTATATATATATATTTATATATAGGTATTTTATATTTTTAGATAACTAATTTGTTACTATTTTATATATTGTCTTCTAGAAAAAATATTTATATATATATTTATAAATATTAAGTTTAAATATAAATGTGTATCGTTTTATACAAAATATATATGATAATAATAAAAAAATGAAATAAAATAATCATTATATTTCCATTACTTAAAATAAATAATTCTGATGAAGGGGAAAAAGAAACAAAAAAAAATTTAAGTGAATTCATTTTATTCATTAAAAAATGCATAATATTAATTTTGCTAAATTATTTTGGAAGAGAAATAAGATTTACTGCTTTCTTATAATAAATAAATTTTTTTTATATCATCCAAATAACAAACTTTTTTTATATGAATAACATGTCTCTATTTATTTTCTTTATCTACATGTATTCTAGAAAAATTTCATAATATATTTCATAACATGAATAGTTAACAAATTTTATCATTTTACGATATCTATCAATCAATTAATCTAATGGAAAATAATAATAATATTTTTTTAATTTAAAAAATTTTTTTTTTTATAAAAAATATTCAATTCGAATATTCAGATCAATGATTAAAGACAATAATAAACCAAAAGACAAATTATATAAAGATAAATATAACATAATCTCAAATTGATCTAAATTTGATCTTAAACATTAGAATCTAAATCTAATCTAAACTCTATACCGTATTTTTCTAAATCATTATTTTAGAATATATATATTTTTCATATAATGTGAATATCAATATTATTTATTTATATATATCTATTGCGTTTACATATCTATTCGCTTAAAAAAAAAAAAAAAAAAACAAAAGCAAGAAATAAAGAAACAAGAGAATATTGATTGATTATTTTTTAGGTACTATATATGGTTCCGTTTATTAATAGTGTTATCCATCGTGCACCATTCGTATGTTGTTTCATTCTTTATTTTGAAAAGTGAACTAAATTTGATGAGTTTTTTGAAAATAGAAATTATTGTGCTATGTAAATTCTAAATAATAAAAAAGTATTTAAAAATCACAAAGAATGATAAAAATAAATCATTTTCCGATTTTAATCAATTATCAAATATTTAGACAATTGACAGATTAAAATATCAAAAAATTTAATATAATGAAAAAAAAAAATTATGAAATATTATATCTACATTACACTTAAATAAAATATATAAATAAAAAAAATAAACAAATTAAGTCACGTGAAAATATTATCACATGTTAAACAATTGGAATAATTTTTAAAAAAGAATGATGAAATATTATGAATTTGTTAATCATAATATTGATAATTGGACATCAAGTATCATGATAAAAGAAAAAGAAAAAAGAAAAGATTCTAAAGACGAATGGTACGTAGATTAAATGAAATTAAACATAATAATCGTAATTGAAACATCTTTTAGGTTGCTATTGCATTTTCCTTAATTTTTCTTCGATCGAAATCACCAATTTCGTTTGTTGCATTATTGTACTAGCTACATTTATCCCACTTATATCATAAATTTATCACGGATTTTCTCAAAAATTTGGCGACAATATGAGCGAGAAATTATTTAGAATCATCCTACAATTTTCATTATGAATACGTATCTAGCTGAGTTTAAAGCGTTCTTCGTGGTTTCCTATTTTTTAAGAGAAATATTGAAATAGAAATTAATGTTACGTACTATTTACGTTACTATTTATTTTTTAATTGGACTTTTGCTTTTGTTTATTAAAAATAAAATGAAACAAAATCATCTATTTCAACGTGGATAAATAAATTTTTGCAGTAAATAGCCGTTAATTTAGATTATTTTTTCGATTTGTAATTGAGGATTTCGAAATATTAAGTTATCGGGTTATAATATATGAGAAATTATTTTTTTTCTATATTGAAAACAAGTAAGAGTAGCCTTTTTCAATTCTTGTTCAATTCTTTTGATTGATAGTGTTTTTGAATATGTGTTATTCAAATTTTTCCATGGTTAATTTTTGTGAAATTAATTTCAATGAGTCATCAAAGATTTTAGCGGCAGGATCGAATCTGATATTTTTTGGATAATTTTTAATTACATTTTAATGTTTGAAAAATTTATAAAATTTTTTTTTTACTAAAACATACCACTTTTCCTCTTTCTTTCTCTCCCTAATATTAATCGAAAATTCTTACTTATCAAATCTGCAATTAAAGAGCTTAATAAATTTTATTTAACAGTAATTTATTACAGTGAAAATCATCTTCTGTTAAAAAATAATTTATCACGGTGAATTCTTATCGATATCTTATTTGTTCTTGTCGATATCAAAACAATAATATCGGTAGATAAACTATCAATTAATAGGAAATGCAATAAAATAACATGAAATAATAATTATAAGTGATTTATTTAAATCCAATTAAGTTTGTAACATTCAACAATATTATTATATTGTTTAAATTGATATTATGTTAAAAACATTATACAGAGTGTACTAAGAGCTATTAGAGAATAAATAAGATAAAGAAAACTTATCTATGATAGTTCGAAGAACATTGGTCACCGTTGTTACTTATCAGATATTAATAAAATGTTGATAAGCGATTGCAACGATAAATTATGAAAAAAAAAGTTGACGAAAAATATAAAAGAAGAAAGATATCGATATTGTTAAACAATCACGTTGCACGCTGTTACGAACAAGCTACGAATCTGATTCAAAAATGAAAGGTAAACTTATTTTTTATTTAATAACATTCAACTATAACTTTCTGTTTGTCAATAATATAATATTTCACTTTGTATATTTGATTTTAAATCTGTATGCATGTTTACAAAACGTATTTTCTCGTTATTTTTTTTTCTTCTCAATGGCGGATATTAATTTTCGATGAATAAATTAATTAAAAAACAATTATAGAAAAATTCGAACGAAATTCAAAATGTGTTTCGACAACACTTGCACTGTACTCTTATGCAAAGGCAAACTCTTTTTTTATCTTTCATATTTTTTTGGTTGAAAAATTGATGACGCGATCAAAGAATAGGAAACCTGCTTGACCTGTATATCGAATCTTTGCCTCTCGAATCTTTTAAAAATTACCACACCAGCATTATGTGACATCAAACAAAATTATTTTTTCAGCGATACTTGCGCTAGCTCTTGCTACTGTTTCGATAGCCCTTGTTTCCGCAACTCCACCACCTACATGTCCGCCGAATGAAGTCGAAGATGAAGTGATCCTACTTCCGAATCCGGATGATTGCACATCTTACTACGCTTGCAACAGAGGAACGCCGTTCTTGATGAAATGTTATCCAGGACTTGAATTCAATGCCGAGTTAAAGATTTGCGATTGGCCAGAAAGGGCGCACTGCCGAGTAACCCCGGAACCATCTTCAAGCGAACCCGAGCCATCGTCCAGTGTTAAACCTGACGAATAAAGAATCGAGCCAAATAAAGAATCCAAGCCAACAATCTAAAGAATCATTGGAGCGTTCTATATATAATAATTAATAAATAAATTATGTGCATTATTATTTATGTGGAATATCTTTCAAAAACTAGCGGCTAGAATTTTGTTAGAAAGTAACGAGTATAAAAATTCGTTGATACGTTAAATATAATTTAATTATTATAAATCTACAAATTTCTTCGTTTTAATCCTTCGTTTAATCCTAATCCTAATAATATTTTGAATAACGATTTAATCGTTATATGGATCAAATTATTACACCAATCTCTTTAGATTATAATTGGATGTTAATAATAAAATTGCTCAATCTGGATTCGAGTTATAAATAGTGAAAAACGATTATTCGATGAGAAAAGAAGAATGAGAGACGAATAGTTTTATAATAATTGCTATGGATGCACGATTTCGATCGAAAATTATTTGGACGTACGTAAAGAGAAAAGGATTTTATTCTCGGGATCCATTAAAGTATCTTCGAAAGTTCGGTTTACGTTTCACGGAATACGAGACGTTTAAAACTTTTTCGAATAGCGATCAATGAACTTTTTGATTTCTTTCTTCGACAATTTTCGAAGATACTTATGAAAGTATACAAAAGATTGAGTTTATATATGTATATATAAAGATGCGATCTTTGTGCCTGAATCTGGGTATCAATCTGGGCACGATTTCCCTTTTTGAATCGCTGCATCGTACGACGATGATCAGCTCAGTGTAAATAAGGCTCAAAGGCATAAGGCAATCATTTCACGATCTAATAAAAAATAAATAAAATTTAAACGTAATAATAATAAATATTTTCTTGAGTTTGTGGATAAAAATTACGTGATACGTGAACGAATAATCTACGTGAGAATTTTCCAACAACTGTTTTCCATGTTATTGTAATTTAAAATAGAAGACGAATTCGAGAATATCCCTCCGTGAGATCGCGTTTGAACAATATTATAAATACAATTAAATAAAATCACAGTATCATTGTCTATGCTAATTAATAACATCTATATATTTCCTAACATTTTACCTGCAAAATTCTTTGTTCTATTTATATTTCATTTCTCTCGACGATACTGAAACCTATTACCAGTATTGCCGAACATGGTAAATAAAAGTGATCTCGTTCGAGAGATCGCGTTCGACTCGTTTATACACATATACTGGCGTGCCAATGCTGAACGTGAAATTTTAGAGGTGTAATTATGCACGTGCACGTGCAGCAATGTCAATATTCGTGGCATAGTTGATCACACAATTTCGAGTTAGTGATTTTCAAATTACCGTCCAGATCCAGTAATTAAATCGAGTTACTGTTTAATATGACAAATTTTTTTCTCACAAATTGTAACTACCTTTCACGTGATAAATACCTTTTACGAAAACTTTTTGTGGTTTGAGAGAGTAGAGGTGTAAATCGATTTTTGGAAAAAAATTGAAAAAAAAAAAAAAAAACGAACGAAATTTTCTTAACAAAGAAGAAAAGTTTGGAACTTTAAGTTGTAACTTTAAGTTGAAAAAATTGTTGAATATACAAATTTTTATTAAAAACTCTTTGACGAAACAAATTAATGCGATCTTCCAGGATCATGTTTCAAGACTTTCAAATCACTAATTTTTTCTTTTCTCAAAATTGAATTTCTTTCTATACGTTCAATCATATCGATTTTTACTTTGTGTACTTTGATTATTATCTAGTGTAATATAATAAAATTTTAATTATATATTACAACGTAAAATTGAATAATCGAAAGACATAAATTTGTCTACCTATTTAGAAATAAAGAAGAAGATTGAAAATATTATCATTAACGGATAAGCTAAACGTTTGAGAAATGTGCAAAATCTATTTTGCAATCTCAACTTGAAACATCTAACTAGCAAAACGTGTAGAAAATTCTAGAAATCAAATTCTTAGAATAAAAATTATTCGTTCATTTACATCGTGAATATCTTCTTCAACGATCATCGACACAATTATACATCCTTCCTACACGTTTAATCCAAAATATTAAAAAAGGGGACAATTTCTTTTCTTCGCAAAATAAAATCCTGCGAATCATCGATCATCTTTTCATCTCGTCTCGCTCGCAAAATTAACTCTCACGAGAGGACGAGATTCAAATGGAAAGGAAATGAAACAAGAAGAAACCTCCTCTCTATATATATAAACGTAACGCATTCGAAGAATAATGAACGCGAAGCGAGACCGTATAGCTGGACCGTGACGATAGCATTAAATTCATTCGATCCACCCTCTCCTCGACGACAATGTCTCAATGACAATTACTTTCCACGGACGGTGTTCAATTCACCGAAACGCGCATACACGCTCGCCGCCTGTCCAACCGCGAGCCATCCCCCTCTCCCCATTTCCCTATTTCTCGGGACTCGAAACTTTTCTCCTCAAAAGAGAAAACGCTCTGCCCCCCCCGATAATCCGAGCATCCAATAATCGTACACAATAATCCGGTTCCATTGTCGACTGTCGTCGATGGGGAGAGAAAAAAAAAAAAAAAAAAAAAACCAGACCCAACTCGGACGAGATGGAGAAGGAAGGAAACTTTCCAAACTTTTCGAAAAGTGTTTTTTCGAAAATCGTGGTCGAGGCAAATATGCGTGTTCCAATGTGTGCTTACACAATTTTGCAGTGGAGTGTGTATGCACACACACAGAGAGAGAGAGAGAGAGAGAGAGAGAGAGAGAAAGAGAGAGAGGTGTCTGTATTAGAACGGGGGCGGTTCGGGGAGGGTCGATGGGGGTGGTTACCGGGATTTTCAGTACGCGCGCGATCGCCGTGCCGAAAACACGGCCACAGCGACGTGTTCCGCTCGCGCCACTTCTCGGGGGACGGGGACGTTTCGCCTGTCCTCTCTTGTTGACGAAAAAAAAGGAGAAGTAAGCTTCCTTTAACACAGGTGGTGAGATAAAAATTAATAAAGAACGTATTGGTGATGGATCGTTCGTTTCGGATTCGCGCTTGGTGGTGAATCTATCGGTGAACCCTTACGCGAGTTGAATGAATCAAAATCGGTGAACGATAACGCGAAATATATATATATATTTTTATACAAACCTATAAAAGAAAGGATTATGGATTATGGACAATCGTGATATCGGGAATAGTGGAAAAAGATCTCGGAAGTGGTGAAGGAGCAAATGATCGAGGGATCATTATTTTCGTATTGGTGGATCTATCGAAGATTCGAATGCCGTTCGAAAACGAGGCAGAACAAAGTAAAAACGAAGTGACGATGAACGAACGTTATCTTATAATGTCGTATCGCGTAATCGACGAGCGAAAATCGTAAATAAATCGGCGAGCGACGGAAGATTTGCCCCGGAAGATTAGCTCTCTCTTTTTCTCTCTCTTCTTTCTCGTTCTCTCTCTCTCTCTCTCTCTCTCTCTCGTCTTTTCCAAACGACGATGCCCGGTTGCACGCGGAATGCCCGTGAAGAGAAACCGAGAGGCGGGGGAGAAGCTGTGAATTAGGTAGGTAGGAGAAGGTTTGGAGGTTTTGGAGATTCGAGGATAGAAGATGAAAGAAAAATGTGCTTTTTTTTTTTCGCTGCGGATGGACAAGGTTCCCGTTCCCCCCCCGGGATGAAATGAATTTTCAAGATGATGAATTTGCAATTGCGATTTGCTCTTTTGTCCCAAAGAGGGATGGGGGATGATGTTTTTCTCGCGATGGAGCATTGTGCGCGCACAATTGTCGTCGAAAATCTGCGATACACGGCGGGTACACCGTGTCGCCGGTGTGCTAAATCCGCGATCGATTTAATCTCGAAGGCGCGATACGATTTCGTTTCACCCCCGTTTCGGAAATTCTGCGGGGAAAGTCCGGTTACAACAAGCTGGCGTTACATTGGATTGTCGTTTGGTTAATTGATGAAAGAGTTTTTCTCGATCTTTAAGGGGGATGAAGGACAATAATGGGTATTATTGCCTCGGGTTCCCCTCGAAACTTTACCTCGCCCCTCCTACCCCCTTGTTATCTTTTCGTGAGTGTTTCGAGTTGGAATCGATATCCGGATTTTCATTGGTCGGGCTTCGATTCCGATACGGCGCGTTATCGATGGATTATAGAAGTGATACGATAGATAAAAATCAAATGCAACCTGATTGAGGTGTGGCATTTTTTTTTCCCTTTCTTTTCTTTTTTTTTCTTCTTCTCGAAAGAGAAAGAGAATCTTGTAAAATTCGAGACGAAAAAGATACGAGAATGAGATGTAAAAGCTGGTTTTAAGATAGAGGTATAAGATGGGTTTATTTTGCCGATTTTATCATCTCAATCAGTGTTGAGGGATTATTTGATCAAATTTTACGATAAATGTTATTTAATTGACGCGTAATAAGACACGTTTGACGATTAAAACAGATATTTGATCGTCAATCGGATTAAGGATCGAGTTATTTAGTTATAATCATCGTAATTACGCTTACGATCGGTTATAATGATACGTTCTCTCGTTCATTTGAATCTAAGCTTCTGTTTTAACGATTTAACAATTTGCTTTAATCGTTTCATAATCGGGATACGATATATTTGCAATACTTTTCGAAATGAGAAATTCAAATATTTAACGTATTGATAAGATTTACATCACAAATTAATTGTATTTCGCGTAATTAATATTAATATTATTGTATACAATTTGCATTCGATGGTAATTTACGAGATGTCGAAATTATCCGTAAAATCGATGAAATGATTAGTTAATTCAACGTATGTATATTTAATAATTATCCAATGTAATTGTCTAGTAATTTATTAAAAAGTTTGCGAGCAAATATGATTCTTGAAATAAGTAAACGTTTGTTATTATTAAGAATCTTCCAAGCTAAAAGATCTCGAGTTTGAACGTTTTTTCAACAATAATGGGATAAGAAAATTCTAATTCTTGCAGTTGAGCAAATAGTACACTCGTGGGATTTTAGTGCGTATATAATAAATTAGCATCTTTATCTCAGAGTTTTGTCATATAAACGTAAAAGAAACCGATGATATATATCGTATCACCAAGAATTATTAAGTATTTCCGATAAATTAAATTTGTTAATATTATGTCGTAACTGTAACATACTTGTCAATTCAAATGATAAACAAAAAGTTTAATTTCCTGTCTATCAAGTTTTTATTATTAACAAAAAAAAAAGAAAATTAATAATTTTTTCT